TATATATATATATGTGTCACAGTGTGGTGGAATCAGGCTTTCGTCAATTTCTGGGCATGTAGAGTTATTGGTATCATCCTAAAGCTTGTTCATTTGTCTTTCTTTGGATTAAAGAAATATCCATTTATCTTGAATGCAAGTCGAGATATTTGCGAAAGAAGGAGGTGGGAGTCACCTGTTTTCAGATGTAAAATTAGTGAGAAAATGGCCGCCAAAGATTAGTTATTCCATTAGCTTAAGAGTCTGTGGTAACACAAAATGTACTTTGTGCCTTTAATCAAGGTTTTTCAGAAAAAAATCCACACATCAATTAGTTCTTTAATGGGCACGAAAGGTGTAGAGCCAAAAAAACATAAATTTGAAAAAAATTCACAAACCTGCGGAAAAATGCAAGTTTCTTCACTTTCATTATTTTGACGAGAGCCTGATTCCACCACGCTGCCTCACATATGACATGCTCACAACACACGATAAACCTGACTGATGGTGAAAAGGGTGAAATGGTACGGGTTTAACGCCTTTATTAACACTATTAGGTTATTTAAGAGGCGGGGCCTCCGAGTTTAACGCCCATCTGCGAAAGGACTGAGCCAAATGGGAAATTCGTGTAAAGTGCTTTTACCGAGGACACAACGTCCTGTCCCTGTCGTTTCATGCAAGAAAAATTCTGAAATTATGCAAACTGAGCCCAAAAATGTGAAATTATGCGATTCTGTTAATTGTAGCACAGAATGATAAAGGAAAATAATCAGAAACTACGCAAAAATGATCAAATTTTGCTAAATTATGCGGGGTGCTTAAAACCAGGGGGGCAGAACGTCGGACCGAGCTGAGGCTCGAACCCCCGAACCCCCAAACCCTCAACCTCACGATTACGAGTCCGGTAATCTTACCACAAGGTCACCGACGCCACAGATATACACAATATGACGTGTACACAAGACACGGTAAACCTGACTGGTGGCGAGTACCCAGACCATCTTAAGTCACTCACCTGAATGGGCCGGGCACGTGAGGGTCCGACATGACGAGCTGGATGACGTACTGGTCACGTGCCACCACACAGTGACTCTGCTCACCAAGCAGGAGCCAATTGGGGGAGAGAGAAGCACATTGTCAAGATAACGATATTAATGATGATGATGATGATGATGATGATGATGATGATGATGATGATGATGATGATGCAGATAACGATGATGATAGAAATGATAATGATAATGATGATAATGATAATGATAATGTTATAACAATAATAACAAGAAAATATTATTATTATTATTATTATTATTGTTATTATTGTTATTGTTATTATTGTTATTCTATTATTGTTATTATTATTATTATTATTATTATTATTATTATTATTATTATAAATAGCATTCATCAAATTTTAATATCCCCGTTGATCAGAATGCTCTATGTGTTGTATTACCTGTCTTATCACTACACGAATTACCCCAGCAGACCCCACCACACTCAGAATCATTCTCGACTTCCCAGGAAGTATACAGTGCAATCCTATCTATCCATCCCTCCTTCCATCCACCCAGCTATCTATCTATCCATCCATCTATCTATCCACTGACCTGAGCAAAGTTGATAAAGAACAGCTGATTGTCGGTGTAGTTGAGACCAGGTAGTCCAGGCTCCGGCTTGCCCTGGGACGACACCCACGTGCGGTACGCCTGAGGGGATATAGTGATGATGATAATAATAATAATTTTAACAATGATAATAACAATAGTAACTACAGCAACAACAGCAATAGTAAAGAGAGAGAGAGAGAGAGAGAGAAAGGGAGAGAATTAGGAAGTCAGGGACAGAAAGACAGAGGTAGAGATAGAGAGAAAGAAAGTAAATTAAAGACAGAGGTAATGAAGGGGGGGGGGGGGGGACTGGTTGTATAAGGATGGTCCTGGCCTTGAGTGCTGTAAGAGACGAAGAGCACAGGGGAAAAACGACGGCAGTTACAAACTGGAAATTGTGAGGGTGCCAATTTTAAAAGCTTGTGGACTCACAACTTCATAATATTCAAATTGTTTGACAGGTGGTTTATTGTTAAGCGTTGTTGAACGGTAAATCTAACAATAATACTCAACCAACAGTTGAACAGAAATACGGTGATGAGTCAACAAGCGTTCAGAATTGGTGCCCTCACGATTTTCAGTTTGTGACCACCGTCGTTTTTTCCATTTAGGAGAGACATGCACGCCCTTGGCTTGCGTCTTTAAGGAAGGGGGGTGGGGG